TTTGTGTGTGTGCGCGTGTGTGTGTAACATAAAACGAGTGGGGGCGCGTGTCGGGCGTATATATATATCTTGGGTGGGGTCTTGGGTGTAGGCAAACACGCCCCAGAGCCCACCCGTTGCCACCCCTACTCATCTCTCTCACACACTTTCGTTCCCGAGAGCTACAAATATGCCCCAAAGAGTCACATTTTCTCTGTATTTTTCGCGCGCGCTATATATATGCGTGTTTATTTTTAAATATGTCGCGCTCACACACTAACTATATATATATTTATATACACATATGAGTGTATATCTCACACTCTCTTTTGTGTGCTTATTTTTGTAGATATAGACAGCACAGGGGTGTTTTTCGCACTCATTGATTTTTTTATGTTTAGATTTATCTCCATATAAATATATCTCTACACTTAATAATTGTCTTTTTTGTTATTGCGAGGAAAAACTCACGACTCGGGGACACCAAATAAATGTCTCTTTTGTATAGCGCCACAAGAGCCGGTGAGAGGAGAGTGAGAGGTCTCCCACACGTTCATACGCATGTATATATATATATATATATATATATATATATATATATATATATATATATATATATATATATATATATATATATATATATATATATCTACAATGAGTACTGCCGCAATACAAGATTCGTTGTGTATCATTTTCTTCTATGGTGCAGAATGGACATTTTGTCCACTATGTTTAAGATTGTTAATACTATATGATTTGATTGCATTTAGTTGCTTATTTTAATTTCTTTAATGTTGATTTTCATTTTTTTTCAAATATCTATGTTGTTTTCTTAATCATTATGATTCATGTTGAGTAAAATTTTGTTTTGGTTATTCATCTGGACTTTTTACAATAATCCAGTACTTAGTGTAACGAAGAAATAATTTTTTTTTTATTTCTTACCTGAAATATTTATTTTATTTTTCTAATCCATAAGTTCTTAGAAAATTTCGAAACAAATAAATATTTTGTATTATCTATAAATGAAACTAATTGTTTTGGTTATTATAATTTTGTAAAATCTTTAATTATTAATTTAAATGTATAAGTGAGCTTTTAGAACTATTAGTGTGCTGAAATATTTGAACAGTTCACATAACCTTAAATGTCTTAAATTATCAAAAATATTGGTAGAAATATATTTTTATGTATATATATAATAAAAAAATATCTTTAAATAACTTATAAAATAGTATATCATACTTTACCTTATTAAAATATATTTCAATATTAATCATATTATTAATATACAATATTCGTATTATTTATAATATAACAAAATATTTACTAATGGGCAATTCGAGCTACTATGTAAAATATCGTATTTAGTTTGGTTACCTACATGAATATTACTTACTAAAAAAATCAGAACCCCAGCTACAAATAGGTGGTATATTTTTTTTTTTTTGCTAGATTTAGTTCCATATATTAATTGTCAATTTTGATATAATTTATCTTACATGTGTAACTAATTCTTACAATAGATATAATCAAAATAAATATAAAACATAATTTGACATGACGTTGATTTATTAGAACTTTTAAATACTTTAATAACATTTAAATGAGTTTCTAAAAAAAACATTTAAATGAGTTATTACGACTCTGATTTTTAAGTTTTTTTTGCTATCAAAGAAATTTAAGATGAAAATTTGATATGAATTTTTTTTGCCTTCCATTTTTAGAAGATAATACCAAAGTGATGAATCGCGAAAGTTAAATAGCTTTAAAAATCTAAGAAACATGAATATCAAGTCGATTATGAAATTTACACAATGGACTTTTAATTAATATTCATTATGAAAATTAAGATGAAAGAAAAGACGTCAAACATTAATTGATTGTTGCGGGATAGCAATTTAACCGCCATTAGTACGATTATGCAATAGAACAAAGTTTTTTTTTTTTTTCTTTTTCAAAGAACGAGAGAGAAGTTAGGAAATAAAAGATGACATGAGGGGCTTTGAGAAGTGAGGCGGCTTTGAATAAGTGAACTTAATTGGACTAAAAGTAAGTGGATAAAATAATGTAATTGGGTAGGCTAAAAAATTAAAAAAAGAAGTATTATATATATATATATATATATATATATATATATATATATATATATATATATATATATATATATATATATATATATATATATATATATATATATATATATATATATATATATATATATATATATATATATATATATATATATATATATATATATATATATAAATATATATATATTTATATATA